GGGGACCGGCAACGGGATCGCAACCCTCGGAGTTGCTCCCGTGCCTCGCTCAGCCAGTGAGCGGGAACCAGTCTGTATGTGGGATCCGAACCCTCGGGCGAGAGCGCCGCCGCGCCTCCCACGTGGCACACTATCCAGTGCGCCACCGGGCCGGCCCCTATTCTTCTGGATTTTGCAAGTCACTGTACAGATTTTGGAGCCTGTGTGTGTGTGTGTGTGTATGTGTTTTCTTTCCACCAAATGTTCTCATTGGCTGCAGGCATGATTTGCTGCATTCAACCAGCCCCTGGTGCACGCAGGGATTTGTTAAAAGAACAAATGCAGGTGGGTGGGGCTGTTCAGGTTTGAGCAGAGCTCTGCACCTCTGTGGCAGACAAAGGGAGGTGGGGATCAACACCCCACTTCCCCCACCCCTCGTGTGGGATGACTGAGGTGTGTGCTCTACACTGACCCTTGGTGGTCCCCCACAGGACTGAGCTCCAGCTGCCCACAGTGGAAACCTGTCTATCTATACCCTCTTTTTCCCCTTTTCTTCTGCTTTTTCTTTTTCTGTCAATACACTGTCTACTGACTTTGTTTCCTTTCCTGTCTCAGTTTTCCACTCCACTTCCAGCATTTCCTGAATCACTTCCCAAATAAACTACTTGGACTTAAATCCTTGTTTCAGTGTTGGCTTCTGGGGGACCCCAAATAAAGACATTCTCTCCAGGCCTCAGTTTCCTTATCTGTCCAAAGGGAAGAATAAATCCTGATGTTATCAAAGCTATGGGGGTGCGGCACATGTCTGTGGGGCTAAGTCCCCCATCCTGCCAGCTCCCTGGGGGTCCTTAGTTCCTGGGGAATAGAAGCCAGAGAAAGTTGTGGGAGCAGGCCCCAGGCTTTCTCCACATCCTGCTGTTATCCTCTAGCATCTCTATACCTGAGGCTCACACATCTAGCACCTTTCAGGGTGAGGAGGGGAGTGTCGCAGCCTGTACAGGCCTCCCTGGTCAGGAGTCAGATCTCAGAGGAGACAGGGAAGAGGTGGTTGCCCAGAGAAGTACATCAGGGCACCACTGAGGAGCTGGTGGGTGAGAGGATGGTTGAGCTTCCTGGGGTGGGACCTAGTCTCACCTGGGTGGTAGCCATGCAGTGTTGCTTGGCCAAGGCCTCCTGGTGGCCTTTGGAAAAGCCCAGCCAGGAAGCTGTAGAGCTGAAGCTGAGGTGCAGTGGGGTCCTTGGTCACTCCCCATGTCCCCTCACAGTGTCCCCGTTTATGAGCTGCAGACCTGCTGGGCTCTCCTCCTGGCTGGGCCCCTGCATAGACCCTGGGACACACTCAGCAACTGGCCACATGCAGCCATGCCAAGAGCTGCCCTGGTGTACAACTTGCAGGGCCTGGGGTGCTGGTGTGGTCACCAGGGCCTCATAGAAACTGCAGGCTGGTTGTACCAGAGGAGAGGGGTGGCCTGATAGATGGGGACAAGTTCCGGGGGTGGGCATGGCCTTGACAGAAATTCCATGTCATCTTTAGCTCACTTTCTCCTTCCTCCCAGGTTTCTCGACTCTCCTGCACATTCCAAAGAAAGGTCTGGCCCTTGGCTGGCTCCTGCAAGAAAGCCTCTAAGCCTGTGTAGTATTCTTCCTGATAAGAGTCTCTCTGTATACCTGGGGGCCACGCCAGATAGTTTATGTCAACAGTGTGATTTGTGGTGCGGGCTTTGGGCCACACTATTATTTGACCTCTGGAGGGGCTGGAGACTGAGCATCTAAGGTTAGTCACATGGATGATCAGTCATGTTGGTCTGGTTGTTGTGGGCTGAAATGTGTCCCCCCCTCCCCAATTCATATGTTGATATCCTAATGGGGGTACTCAGAATGTGACTGCATTTGGAGATAGGGTCTTTACAGAGGCAATTACATTAAAATGAGGTGTTTAGGGTGGGCCCCAATCTAATATGACTGGTATCTTTATGAAAGGAGGATTATGTATGGAGGAAAGACCATGTGAAGACACGGGAAGAAGAAGATGGTCATCTATAAACCATGGAGAGACGACTCAGAAGAAACACCCCTGACACCTTGATCTTGGACTTTTGGCCTCCAGGACTTTGAGAAAACAAATTTCTGCTGTGTAAGCCACTCTGTCTGTGATACTTTGTTATGGCAGCCTCAGGAAATGAATACAGGGGTTAATCCCAATAAAAACCCTGGACCCCAAGGCTTGGGTGAGCTTCCCTGGCTCACAATACTCCACACATGTTTTTACATTGTTACAAGAATTAAGCACTGTCTGTACAACTCCACTGGGCGAGGACGATGAGAGGCTCACGCCTGGTGTCTCCTAGACTCTACCCTATGTGCCTTTTACTTCTGCAGATTTTAATTTGTATCCTTAGCTGTAGTAAACCATGATTATAACAACTGTGCTGAGTTCCATGAGTCCTTCTAGTGAATCACTGAACCTGAGGGTGGTCTTGGGGACGCCCAACCATAGAGGTTCAGAGATGAAAGTATCCCCACCAAGTTACTAGCAAGTGGACATTTGGGAGTAAGAGCTGCCTCTCTGGGACCTCTGGCTGAAGCCTTAGTGAATTCTTCTCATGCTTTGCTGGAAGCACCTTTTCTGGCTACTCCCACCAGCGTGTCCACTTTTCGTCCCCCAGAGCCCACACAGGTCTGCTCCCTCCTTCCAGGGGCAGACCTTGACCTGTTCCAAGCTTCAGCATGGCCTTGGGCAAGTTACCCACCTGGGAGACCGTCTAGCATCACAGTGGAGGCGGGTGTCAAGTTTTGGGGTCATGCCAGCCTGGGTTGGATTCCCCCTCTCTGCCCCTGACATGGTGTGTGGCCTTGGGACGGTCACTTTACCTCTCTGAGCTTCAGTGCCTGAATTCCCCAAATCGTTTTGAATCACCCGATAAAATCCTGCATGGAATAAAGAGTATTCTTGTACTCTAGTACTGGCCAGGATCACTCTGGTCCTACCAAATCTAGATAAGACTGGCTCAAACCCCTTCCAATACCCTTGCTGAGATTTTGGAGAATCTGAAGCCTTAGTGAATTCTTCTCATGCTTTGCTGGAAGCACCTTTTCTGGCTACTCCCACCAGCGTGTCCACTTTTCGTCCCCCAGAGCCCACACAGGTCTGCTCCGAAGCCTTAGTGAATTCTTCTCATGCTTTGCTGGAAGCACCTTTCTGGCTACTCCCACCAGCGTGTCCACTTTTCGTCCCCCAGAGCCCACACAGGTCTGCTCCCTCCTTCCAGGGGCAGACCTTGACCTGTTCCAAGCTTCAGCATGGCCTTGGGCAAGTTACCCACCTGGGAGACCGTCTAGCATCACAGTGGAGGCGGGTGTCAAGTTTTGGGGTCATGCCAGCCTGGGTTGGATTCCCCCTCTCTGCCCCTGACATGGTGTGTGGCCTTGGGACGGTCACTTTACCTCTCTGAGCTTCAGTGCCTGAATTCCCCAAATCGTTTTGAATCACCCGATAAAATCCTGCATGGAATAAAGAGTATTCTTGTACTCTAGTACTGGCCAGGATCACTCTGGTCCTACCAAATCTAGATAAGACTGGCTCAAACCCCTTCCAATACCCTTGCTGAGATTTTGGAGAATCCCGATTATTTCTTCATAGTCTCCTGGTATTGCTGAATTAAATAATTCCACTTTGAGTGTCTGGTCTGCTCCATAGGACAAGGCACTTGGCCTCTCTCCTTGATTTCAGCAGAAACCCACTCAAAGTTTCTGGAAAAAAAAAAAAAAAAGCTTTAAATCCATTTTGTGAAATGGCACTATCGCCACCTGGTGGCCACTTCTTCTAATTTTAACTTCAATTGTTTCAAGGCTTTTAGAGTTTGGAAGTACCTTCCAGACCGTGTCCATTGCAAGGGCCAGAAAGGTGCCCCAGAACAGGTTCTCCTGTTTTGCTGAACCTAAAGCCTAGTTGGGCCCCAGTTTTCTACAGGAAGGTTATGTAGTCCGATGATCTTCAGACTTTAAGGATCTCAGGAACCCCACGGGTATGTTAAAATTATGTTCTATCGCTCTTGGAGGTTGATCTTCATTCCTAAAAGCTCCCCACGATGATGCTTCTGGTTCATGGACAACTTTGAGTAGCAGGCTCTACTTTTTCTGTAGAAAAGAGGCCCAAACATCTTGGGCAAAAGGGGCCAGATAGCAAATGTTTTAGACTTTATGTTCCATACGGTCTTTGCTGAGATTACAGTAGTTTCCCTTTATCTGCAAGGGATATGTTCCAAGACCTCCAGTGGATGCCTGAAACTGAACCCTATTTATATTGTTTTTTTCCTATACATATATAACTATGGTAAAGTTTAATTAAGAAATTAGGCATGGTAGTAGATTAACGACAATAACTAATTATAAAATAGAGGAATTATAACAATATACTGTAATAAAAGTTACGTGAATGTGGTCTTTCTCTCAAAATATCATATTGTACTGTGTTCACCCTTCTTCTTGTGATCTGTCAATCTGATAATTGAGACGGCTACTAAGTGACTAATCGGCAGGTATTGTACACAGCGTGGATGTGCTGAAAAAAAAATGATAATTCATGTCCCGGACGGAATGGAGTGGGATGGCACAAGATTTCATCACACTGCTCAGAATGGCACACAAGTTAAAACTTATGAGTTATTTATTCCTGGAATTTCCCATTTCATGTTTTTGGGTTGCCCTCAATCGTGGGTAATTGGAACCTCAGAAAGCTAAACTGCAAATAAGGGGGATTACTATACTCTGCTCTGCGCTTGCAGTGTGAAGTCAGCCGTAGATTATACGTAAATCAGTGGGTGTGGCTGTGTTCCAGTACAACTTTATTCATGGGCACTAGAATTAGAATTTTATGTAATTTTAGTGTGTCATGGAATATTTTTTGTCTTTTAGGTTTTCCCAACTATTAAAAAAAAAAATCTAAAAACCATTCTTAGCTTGAGGGTCGTATGAAAGCAGACTTCAGGCCCTAGTTTGCAGATCCTGGTCTAGACATGAAATTCTAGACAATATCATGTCCTTGTTAAGGTCTGGGGCTCTGGGATGGGTCCTCTGTTTGAACTTTGGCTACCACTTATTAGCAGCTTCACTTTTCAAGCCTCAGTTTCCCCATCTGTAAAAAAAAGGGGGGGTTATATTCCCTATCTTCTAGGGAGGTTGTTTAAAATTTAATAAGGTAGTGTATAGAAAGAGCTTAGCATGGTGCCAATAATAAATTTCAGCTGTCAGCATCATTACTACCACTGTACTGGTACCCAGCAAACAAACCCATGCAATTTAAATTCGTCACCTTTCCCTCCAGTTTGTAGTCCATAGTCCCTTAACCAGAACACATGGTTGGTCATGAACTCGAGAAGGTATATCTGGGCATGGTCTTTGCAGGAAGCTACCCCTTCTTAAACTAACTGTATTTGTTTTCTGGGGATGCCATAACAGAGTACCACAAACTAAGTGGCTTAAACAACAGAAATTTATTGTCTTATAGTTTTGGAGGCTGGGAGTCTGAGATCAAGGCGTGGGCAGCGTTGGTTCCTTCTGAGGGCCATGAGGGAGAATTGTTCCATGTCTCTCCCCGAGCTCGTGGTGGTTGCTGGTAATCTCTGGCATTACTTGGCTTGTAGAAGCATCACCCCAATCTCTGCCTCCATCTTCACATGGTGCTCTCCTTGCATACAAGTCAATCATACCAGATTAGACCTCACCCGAATCACCTCATGTTACCTTGATTACGTCTGTAAAGACCCTATCTCCAAATATGGTCACATTCTGAGGTATTAGGGGTTAGGACTGCAACATATCTTTTTTGGGGGGACAGAATTCAATTCATAGCACTAACTTTCCATGCACTCCAGTGCACCCAATCCACTTGTTGCTGATCATGCCTGTGGAACAATATTGGGTTCACAGTCAGGTGGTGGACATCCCAGGAAATACATGGACTTCGATGTTAGACGAGAGCCTGTGTCTACAAACTGTGGTCTGTGGATTTCCTGAGTCAGAGCCACCTGGAGAGCTTGTCAAAAAGGCAGATTCACTGAATCAAATCTCCATGAAGCAAGCACCAGAGTCTTCTATCACCAAAGGTGGCGGGGGTCGGGGAGAGGGATGGGAAGCCTGTCGATGGCAGCAATTGCCACCTAAAATCAGAGCCAAAGTGGAGGCCTCGAGGTTCCCTGGGTGGCTGGGACTGGTGGCTCCCTAAAAGAATAGCAAAAGTCAGGTGCTTTTGAAGTTCTTCCTCCACTTACTTAGGGAGCACGGCAATATAAGTGGCTAATGCATGGACTGTCCTTGTTAATATTAAAATGAGTGTAGCCACATCTTTCATTCTATTAGTGTTATCCACATAGCGATCCTATACGCCTGGTACCCCAGAGAGGCTGAGTTAAAGCCACCTTGAAGTCTTGCCTGCTACTCTCATCTTCATGGGGAAGATAAATCATAGGGAAAATGCACATCTTCCCTTTGGCTTTTACTGCCCTTCATTTATCTCTTTATAACACATTTATCATGTTGTACTGTAAGGATTTATTTACAGGCTGCTGTGGATTGATTGAATTGTGTCTCCCAAAGTCCGTGTATTAGAAGCTGAATTCCAGGATAACTCCTGAAGGTGGGAAATCCTATTATGGTAAGGGAAAGGAGGGGCCTTGAAGAGGTGAGTAGACTGTAGGACCACGCAGTTGTGAATGGATTAGTAACGGTGGTCAGGGGTGTGGTTCTGAGGGCTTTGAAGGGAAAGCACCTGAGAGTCTTTCTCTCTCTCTGTCCCGCCATCTTCTGCCATGTGAGACCCCTGGGCCACTGTCACCAGCACCAAGACCCTCACCAGATGTGTTCCCTGGACTTTGGACTTCCCAGCCTCTGAAACTGTAAGCAATAAATTGCATTTTCTTATACATCACCCAGGTCCAGGTATTTTGTTATAAACAACGGAAATGGACTAATACACAGGCATACCTCAGAGATATTGCTGTTTTATTCCAGACCACCCTAATAAAGCAATTATTGCAATAAAGTGAGTTGCATGAATTTTTTGGTTTCCCGGCGCATATAAAAATTATGTTTATACTATATTTTAGTCTATTCAGTGTCCAGTAGCATTATTTTTTAAAAAACAATGAGTGTACCTTAATTAAAAATACTTTATTGCTAACATATGTTGGAAAAATGCTGCCGATAGACGGGCTTGATGCAGGGTTGCCACAAACTTCCAACTGGTAAAATAATGCAGTATCTAAATAATAATAATAATAATAATAATAATAATAATAATAAAGCAAGTGCAATAAAACGAGGTATGCCTGTGTGTGTCTTTCTTCCCCACTAGACTCTGAACTCCTCAAGGTCAGGAACGGGATGCATCTATGTGTCCCCAGCACCCAACTGTTGTCCTGGAGCTCTGTAGGCACCCAACAACTGTTCTGCCCTAGAACTGGGAGGAGGCTGCTTTGCTGGCGAGCTTCCTCAAGCCTGCCTTCATGTCCTTGTTCCTTAGACTGTAGATGAAGGGGTTTAGCATGGGGATGACCACCCCACACATCAGGGCAGCCACCTTGTCTTTCTGGGAGGAGGTGGGGGATGTGGGCTGTAAGTACACGGTGAAGATGGTCCCGTAAAACAGCAACACGACAGTGAGGTGGGAGCCACAAGTGGAGAAAGCTTTCCACTTGCCCTCTGCAGAAGGGATCTTAAAGACCTCCCGGAAAATGCAGATGTAAGAGAGGAGGATGCAGGAGAGTGGGCTGATGCCCACGACGATACCAAAAGCAAAGACCACCAGCTCGTTGGTGTGCGTGTCTGAGCAGGCGAGCTTCAGCACGGGCATGAGGTCGCAGAAGAACTGGGGGATTTCAGAGCCAGCACAGAAAGTAAGTTGAGCCACGAGGCAGGTGTGCACGAGAGACTGGACATTGGTGATCACCCATGGTCCCCCCACCAGCAGCCCACGGACTCGGGGGCTCATGAGGACAGAGTAGCGCAGCGGGTGGACAATGGCCATGAACCGGTCGATGGCCATCACGGCCAGGAGGAAGCTGTCCATGGTTCCGAACAGGTGGAAGGCGTACATCTGGGCAAGGCAGCCCACAAAGGGGATGGCCCTGCTCTGGGTCTGTATGTTCACCAGCATCTTGGGGATCGTGGTGGAGGTGAGGAAGATGTCAATGAGAGACAGGTTGGAGAGGAAGAAGTACATGGGCGTGTGGAGGTGGGGGTCCGTGAGGATGGCCAGGACGACGAGCAGGTTCCCAAAGGTGGTGACCAGGTACATGGACAGGAACAGCCCAAAGAGGAGGGCCTGATGCTCTGGCTTTTCTGAGAGTCCCAGGAGGAGGAATTCTGAGACCACTGTTTGGTTTTCCGGTTCCATGTGCAGCCTGTGTCTACTGGGAAGGAACAGAAGGCTGGAATCAGAGGTGGGGTTCCAGTCGCAGCTTCCCACGCAGACCTACGGGGTTCTGTGAAAACCTATTGAATCCTTACTGTAAATTCCTCTGTGCTAAGCTGTCTTCAGTGGGTTTCTGTTTCTCCCCAAACCGAGCCTCCATCTTTGAGATAGTCAGTGTCTCCAACACCGTGTTAGTTTTTCTTTCTTTTTTTCTTTTTTTCCTTTTTGTCTTTTTTGGTGACCGGTAACGGGATCGCAACCCTTGGTGTCACGCCCACACCGCG